AGTGAGAATATGTCAAAACAAAATGGTGTCACATAATTTATAGAAGTTTCAAATATTTATGCATAATTAAGTGTGATGCAAAAAGTGCAATACTCGAATATTTTTAAAAAGAAGATGCAGCCATACCGTCGCTGGGTCATCAATGCAGTGACTGAATCCTTCACTTGTAAAATAAGACTCAAAAAATTTTCCTCACGCTGAAAATTTTGCAGAACTCTTCTTAAATCTTTCGTTTTATGTCTCGAAGAATTTGAGAAGCTTTTAAAAGGCAGATATTTATCAAAGAAACGCTGGATCACTCGTTTTGGTAATTAAAGGGAGCCTAACGTTTTAGAGATGAGTTTTTTAAGATAACGTACGCGACGAATTCCGACTAAAATATTACGTATATTAGGTGATAATTTAACTGTTAGTAACTGTTAATTAGTTAAAAATGCCCATTTGTCCGTTTTAACCCCTTGCACTTACGCGTTCCTTCTCAGTTTTTTTATATTAATATTTATTAGCTATTAACGGAATGTGTTTACATTTTTTTGTTACGTTTCTTATATTCTCTTCTTTTTTATTCCATTACCAACGAATGATGTTAATCAATTTTCCTTACTTTTTCCACCCTTGATACAGAGTCTTGCTAGTTTGCATTGCATCTGTTGTACGTAGTTACATAATGGAATTTTTTATTAAATATTTGTATATTTAGGTATTATTAGTCGAGTCAGTTGATTGATTTCTTGGCAATCATTCGTCAAACAGGCTTCATTAAGTAACATTTAAAACATACCAATCGATGTATTGTGCTATTATCCTTAATGAAGAGCCCCATAAGGGAATAACATTGAAAATTAAATATAAATGAAAATTAATTGAGCAGTATAGTTTATACAAGAATGGAAAAGTTACTTATTAACATTTAATTACATCGCTCCATCCGATGTATCGTAAAATCTTGCAAATTATAAAAGTTACCTTTCCTTCTGACTCAGATTAGTTTATTAAAAAATTAATTACAAACCGAACAGCACAAACTGCAAAGTGTTAATAAGTTAACTTGACTCTTGACTAACTGCAATATAATTCGTTTTCAACTCATACTTGATTATCGAGTAACTAGAATGTAATATTTATGAAATATTAAACCTTCATTAAACAATCGTATACCGAACAACTACGGTTATAACATGTTTTATGCATCGTACAATGTGCAAAGGGAAATATTAACATAATTCAAGTTCAACTCGTATGTTCACTAAAAACCGGTAGTATAAATCTAATTAGGAGTAAGTAAGTAATAAGTGAGTAAGTAAAAGCAGGTAGTCATACCCAAAAATCAATCGTCCGAATCCTTCCTCCAGGCTATCGTAAACCACTTAACTTCCCGTTAACTTTTCCACCCTCAACGAAAAAAAAGCGACGAGAACTTGGTACACACCCGATCACGAGCAAAAACCGAACTGACGAAAAAAAATGTGACTAGAGTCGCTCCCGTTGGAGAAAAGAAAGTGAAATTCCATCCCTGCCATTATTCGGACACCCCTTTCTCGACTTTCGAATTTTTAACATTTTTTATTGCGGCCAGCTTTCACCAACCCTTTCCCAATTGCAGGCCGCCTCGGGAGTCCCGCATTCAACCCTTTTTTTACGAGTGCCTTAAAAGAGAAAGTTTCTACGAAACCTTCTGACAAAGAGGAATAAAGGGGGTGTGATCCTTCGTACCAGATGACTTACACCTTGTTTGTCTCGGTCGAGGTTTATTGGTAAACTTCGAGATCGTAAACGATTTTATTCCGCGTGTTTCCTATAGACGTCAGCTTTCTGACGAAGTCTTTACCTGAACTTGGATGCTTCGACAATTATTTTTTATTTGAACTGTAATGTTAGATATCATTGATCTATGGTTGCTGTGCCAGAAACGAGTAATTAATATAACAGAGATTTAAGTTGCTTTTGATTGGGACAAAGAGAAAAATTCTTGAAGTTAGCGGTATTCGGATTAGAGAGGTCTTTGACACTGTCGTAATTTTTGGAAGTGATTTGATATCTGAAGTAAAGGGTGCAATGTGTGATACAACGTATGGCGATGTGGGATAATAACGTAACGATATAATGGGAGGTGGTAACGCATGTGGTGACACCACGCGTGGAGATAGAATGCTTTGTAATATCACATGGCGATACGGCACGAGGCTATATAATATATGCGGTGGTTGAAAGCATGACTATACAGCGTGTAGTATTATAACGCTAGGTGATCTAATGTGTGATGACCATACGCTTAACTGTACAACGCGTGGCGACGTAACGTGTGGAATTAGAACATTTACGTACAGAACGCGTGGAAATTAAATGCTTAGTTATACAACGCGTAGACATCAATCGCTTAGCTATACAATGCGTGATAATTAAACACTGAAGTACACAACGCGTGGTAATTAATCACTGAACTACACAACGCATGGTAATTAAACACTGAGCTATACAGCGCGTACTAACGTGACATATGGCGATCTTAACACGAGACAGTCTAATGCATGGTAATGTAACACGTGACGATACAGTCCGTAGCGATATAAAGGCTTGTCCGTCTAATACGTGATCTAACACCTGACGATACAACTCTTAATAACGCGTGACTATATAAGAAGTATTCGCACAACATGTAATTAAACAGTATCGGCTAACAAAGTAAAATGTTCAGTATCAATCAATAGATTCTTAGGGGCTCTAAACTTCAATTGTAGTTTTTTATTTTTTCATCGATATTGAAACTTCTTACGTATTGGGTGTTTGAAAATAATTATATATTTTATAAATAGATTTTGGTTACAAATAATACAATTAATCTTATCATACAAAATGATTTTGATATAAAATAGAAAAAGTGATGTATGATTTTCTACGTAGATGTATCACTTACTTTAGTAGAAAGCAATTTACAGTATAAATTATAAGTAATGTTGTGTACATAAAAGACTATCGAGTCAGAAAGAGGAGAATATCTTACAAACTAAATTTAACGAAAATAAAATTATTAACTAAAACAATTTTCCATGAATGTGAATTCACAATCTAAGCGTTGCACTATCACGTTTGGTCAATCGAGGATTAAATATTTTTCAAATATACAATATTTTCTACATTTATTCGATACATCATATTTATTTATTGGTGACCTCAATTTATTTCGAACAAGTACCTTACAATACAAACTATTTATAAAATGAAGTATGCAAGAGTATGTTAAAAGTCTTTTCTTTTACATCATTCAAGTTGTACAAATACTACAGAATATAGTTAAACGAAGCTGATAGCTAAAAATACTTGGGTGACAAAAGTTTAACAATTTTTCCGTCTGTCGCATAAATTTCCACAGAAAGCACCAAGCTTATCAGTAGCTATTTTTCTCCATCTTCCTTTAAAGCACTAACATTAGATAAGATTCGTTAAAAGTAAAGAAATAATCTTTACTATCACGTGAATGTGTGGCCATAAAAAAATTATAAAGATTGAAAAGGTATTGATTACATCTAACCCTTCGTTCTTCTAAAACTCTTGTAAAGTTTGCACATGACGTATAAAAATAACAGAAATTCTGATATTCGCTTAACATCGTTAACTTCAAAAAGTAGAAAATGTTGCCGAGGTAAAGTGTTATCTTTGCATTATGAAAACCATATTCCGATATCTGATACGTCTATTTTGAGTAAATTGCATCGCTATTCTAAATGAAGGTATGTAGAAGATAAATAAATCGCGAAGGATTTGATTATGGGTCGATATTGACATTTAACAGCCTGCAGTACGTTATCATCGTTTATTTATGTATCTTGTTTTCTCCTTTCTGTTACACATGCTTGAGGAACATCCAGGAAGCAAAGTCTGATCGTTTCTTGATCGCTCGACGATTCCGAAACTAACATTAGACTCGTTCGAAGCCGTAAAAACACTGATCAACGTCGTTCGATGTAAACTTTCCAGTTTTTGATAGCGTCTATCGATCGATTACACGGTTAATAAGTTATTTATTTTGGAATCATCGGGACAAAAACTATTATATTTCATTATCCTCGTGCTCGGTTGCAATTGCGTTTATTTCGTCGAAAAAAGCCAGAACGATTTCCCACGCCGATGTACGATTAAGATTCGAAATATCCTCCTTTGGTATTTCTACAGCGTTGTTTAATGGCTTCGATACAGACGCCGCCTATAATTATTATCTGCGATCTAATTTACAACGTCGACAGTAAGAATGTTTACAACTTGATACAGTTTAATTCCCGGACGATCTTCGGTTGTCGTAAAAAGATCCTAATTCGCCTTCTCGAATTCTACGACCTAATTACTCGAGAACGTGCAAACGAGATTAAAATTGCACGGCGTCCGGTAATTATCCACTCGATAATTTCTCGAAGTTACTGCCGGGCATAAATTAGACTGCACAACATTCACAAGAATCGAACGCTCGAGAGATTCGTTCCGGTTTCACGAATTCGCACGAATTTGCCAAATTCTCCGCTTACGAGGGAGAAAATAAACGTCCGACGAATCGTTCGGAATTCCGTAAATTACTGGAATTTCTATGATCCTCGGAAAATTTCAATGAGAGGCACGTTTAAGTAATTTTAACGCGTCGCGTACAATTCCATTAAAAGCACGATCAACGAGTACAAATTCCAGAGGACGATAAAAAGCAACGCTCCAGGCTATCACCTTTCCCGACAAGGATGGCCAACGTGAACAGGTAATAAAGCTAGCTATCGGGGCGTAATCCGCTTAAAGCTAAATTTACGATTATCGTTGAATATCAGCAGAGAAGCCTGCAGGGGTCCAGCGAAGACGTCGTCCAGCGTAGATCGGTGTAGCCTCCTGTTACGTATACTGAAGGTATACCGGACAGAAATACACTCAGGATACATTCAGTATACGTACAGGGGGTTTCACATTCCTCGTCGATGTTCCGTTTATCGCCGTCAAGGACGCGGGACGATAAGAACGTGGCTCGTTCGACGCGCACACCATGATAGTCCCATATTTTAGAAGATCGGAGCGTCTGTCGACGAGTCGGGTCGTTTCGCGACGATAGCAGGTAAGAGCTCTTTCCAGTCAGCGATAATGATGGCGTCGTGCGTGTCTTTTTGGACGGTAAGCTGACATTTTCCGATATTCCGCGAACAAGCGGCGTCGATCGGGGACCTGAAAGCACGACAGCTGATGGAGTGTCAGGTTCGAAGTATTCTAATTCGAAGAAAAAGTATGGATGTTCGGTAGTTAAAATCCCGAGTACCTGGACACCCGACGTGCCGCCACGTCTATCCGGTTGCCTGCCGCAGGGAATCCGTTCCCCTCTGCGTTCACGTGTCCGCTCGGTCGATATTCGTCCACCGAATCCTCGCACGGCGTTCCTGCACATAACATCTTGGTTCGAGTTAAAATATCCACCGACAGAACACTCGTCGAATCCGTATACGAACCTGTGTCCCTTTTCTCCGAAGGCTCGTTCCACCCCTTCTTTACTCGGCTGTCGCGGATTTTCGAAACAGCCGTCCGATCGATCCGCTGTTCCAGGGGACGGTGGCGGTAGTCCACTCGAAATCCGGTAACGAAAACGCACGATGTCATTCACAAAGTGGCGAAGAGAGGATCTCGAAGGATGACAGCTCGGCTCGGTCTACGTGCGACGAGTGACGTTCACGGTGCGGACGAGGCGCGAGGGACACTCGTGGCCACGAGCCAGCGTGCCGAAGAGAGACGGCCACTGGCAACGGGGAAAGGAGGAAATCGAGTCGGCGAAGAATGCAGAAAGAAGGAACAGAGGCGTCTGTCTGGTCGGCGTCGATGGAAGTCGAGAAGGCCCTGGCGTGGAAAAACAGAAATGGCGCGGGGTTAGACGCGAGGAAAAGAATGCTCCTCTCTCGGAAGGATGCGTACGCGGATCCTTCGAAGGACGAGCGCGAAGTGCAGGCGGCTCGAAAAACCGGTCAGTTTGGAGACAACCGTGGCGCGTCTGACGGACGACTGTCGGGGCGTCTGGCGGCGTCGCGACGCTCCGAGGGCAGCGCGTCACTCGCGCCGCGATAACGAAAGTTCTTCTCCCTTGCAGACTCCTGAGCTTGTTCCCTCTCTCTCGCTCCCCTTCTTCGGCTGCCCCCCTCCCTCTGTGTACGTGTCCCTCTTTCCACGTTCGAAAGGTTCGTTGTTCCTCGGAGAAACGCAGCAAAGACCGCAGAAAAGAGGGATCTTCCGGTGACGTTGGCCGACAACGTCCAGAGAGAGAGAAGAGTCTGGTCGAGCTAGCGACGCCGACGCCGACGCCGACGCCATGCGACGTCGCTTCGTGCCCGGCTGCGCCTAGGGACGCTGCTTCCTAGCTTGTGTGGGTTTTCACCACCGCGCACACGGATGCGAGTACTCTTCGGATACACCAAGGGGGTATATAAAGTCGGGGTGGTTATAGGGGCGACTGGGAGGGGCGGCTCCTGATAACGCGCAGGGGCGAGCAACCCCTCTCTTTTCCGTCCCTTCTTTGTGTCCTTATCGCTCTCCCTCGCGTTTCGTCTCCTCCCACCTCTTTGTCTTTCCGGCTGCGTCCTCGTCGCTCTCGCGGGGGACCGGTGCGTTTCGGTTATCCTATTCCACCTGTTTTGCCTCCTTCTCCCACCTCCGCTTCCCTCTTCGTTCCCTCAGGGTCGACCAACCCCTCTCTCCGTGCATCTTCCTCCCACATCGCCGTTCGCTCATCCTTGTCCTTCCCGGACATACGATGCATAGCCTCGTCGGCGAAGAATGCAGAAAGAAGGAACAGAGGCGTCTGTCTGGTCGGCGTCGATGGAAGTCGAGAAGGCCCTGGCGTGGAAAAACAGAAATGGCGCGGGGTTAGACGCGAGGAAAAGAATGCTCCTCTCTCGGAAGGATGCGTACGCGGATCCTTCGAAGGACGAGCGCGAAGTGCAGGCGGCTCGAAAAACCGGTCAGTTTGGAGACAACCGTGGCGCGTCTGACGGACGACTGTCGGGGCGTCTGGCGGCGTCGCGACGCTCCGAGGGCAGCGCGTCACTCGCGCCGCGATAACGAAAGTTCTTCTCCCTTGCAGACTCCTGAGCTTGTTCCCTCTCTCTCGCTCCCCTTCTTCGGCTGCCCCCCTCCCTCTGTGTACGTGTCCCTCTTTCCACGTTCGAAAGGTTCGTTGTTCCTCGGAGAAACGCAGCAAAGACCGCAGAAAAGAGGGATCTTCCGGTGACGTTGGCCGACAACGTCCAGAGAGAGAGAAGAGTCTGGTCGAGCTAGCGACGCCGACGCCGACGCCGACGCCATGCGACGTCGCTTCGTGCCCGGCTGCGCCTAGGGACGCTGCTTCCTAGCTTGTGTGGGTTTTCACCACCGCGCACACGGATGCGAGTACTCTTCGGATACACCAAGGGGGTATATAAAGTCGGGGTGGTTATAGGGGCGACTGGGAGGGGCGGCTCCTGATAACGCGCAGGGGCGAGCAACCCCTCTCTTTTCCGTCCCTTCTTTGTGTCCTTATCGCTCTCCCTCGCGTTTCGTCTCCTCCCACCTCTTTGTCTTTCCGGCTGCGTCCTCGTCGCTCTCGCGGGGGACCGGTGCGTTTCGGTTATCCTATTCCACCTGTTTTGCCTCCTTCTCCCACCTCCGCTTCCCTCTTCGTTCCCTCAGGGTCGACCAACCCCTCTCTCCGTGCATCTTCCTCCCACATCGCCGTTCGCTCATCCTTGTCCTTCCCGGACATACGATGCATAGCCTCGTCCGGCTCGAACGGAATCGAACAACGCACCTATCCTTTGCTCGTCTCTCGCTTGA